TCATAGGAAAAACAGAGAGATCTCTCTTTGAACAGGGAAACATACAGGAGTCTCATGCCTTAAATTTCTCCTTCGTAGCACGAGTCATATGCTGGCTCGAGTTACTTTTAAGGTGGCTCTCTTATTAGCTAATTTTGGTTTAATTCTTATTTCCTGTTTTTATGTTGGCTATATGAAACATAACCGAAAGGAATGCTGTTTTCTTCTGTCTTCACAAGTGAAGGTATCATTTCTTGGTTGCGTTACTAGCCAAATGCCAATTACGCATTGATGATTTCCCTTTGTTTTCCCTACAATTTGTACACAAGTCAAAAGTGGATTTATCTTAAATTGCCGAACTGAATAGCACAAAGTTGACATCGATGATACTCTCATCTCAACGAGGCCCTTCACGTCTTGCACAAATTCCTGCACTCCCAGTTGTAGGATGCCACGTTAGTATTAGAGCATGTGTGTATTTCACATGTGCAAGAAGATTTTTCTTCATTTTTTTACTCTTTCAATTATTCAGTATTATTCGCCCGTGTTTAGCACGGCGCCCCTCGCTAGTAGGGGGAGGTTATCTGAATTTGGAAATGGCGCTCATTGCCAAATGAAACTAGAAGGTGATTGTCATGTGAGTTTCTTGGTCACCGGAGTTTATTCTGTCATTGATAGGGTACTAGCTTAAGCTTATAAATACAGTAAAAGAAGATGGGAAGGAGCTAAGGTGAATTCTGTGTTAAGGTGATTTTTCCATTTACAAGTGCTTATTGTAAGTGGTTGTTAAAATAAGTATTTTTTTTATAAGTGCTTATTRTAAGTACTTATTTTAATAACCATTTAAGGCTGCTTGGTGATCCATTTGCCAAATCACTTATTGTGTTTTATAAGAACTTGTTAGGGTGGGGATGTTTGGTGAGTCATTTTCCCCACAAATGTTTATGTTGACATAAATGACAATTTTAGCCCTTATTTCACTTATACATATAAACAATGCTTTTCACATATTATACTATATATTTCAATGAAAAAATCGCCACATCATGACACTTGAGAGCCCACATGGACCCATAAGTGGAGTGTCATGTGGACTCAATTAACAACAATAACAACAACAACAACAATAATAATAATAATAATAATAATAATAATAATTTAACAAATATTGAATAATATTTTCAAGAAGTACTTTTAAGGCACATTTTTCATAAAATACTTCTAGAAAGTAATTTCATGAATCAATTTTCACAAAATACTTCCAAAAAGCACTTTAAAGGCGAAGTTTTCACAAAATACTTTTAAGACGTAGTTTTCACAAAATGCTTTTAAGACACAATTTTCACAAAATACTTTCAGATAAGCACTTTTTAAGGTGCAAATTTCACAAAATACTTCCAAAAAGTACTTTTAAGGCACAATTTTCACAAAATACTTTCAGAAACCACTTTCAAGTAGAAATTTTTACAAAATACTTTTAGAAAGTACTTTCAATAAATAGATTTTACAAAATACTTTTAGAAATCATTTTTTAGGAATAGTTTTCACAAAATACTTCTAGGAAACACTTTCAATGAGTAGTTTTCAAAAAAATAATAAAATATGATAAAATGAGTAATACATGTTAGCTTGATTTATTCAAAAAAATATAAAAAACATCACCAAAATATCAATGAGAATTGAAAATAAAATAAAATATGATAAAATGAACAATACATGAAAATTTGGTTTATTCAAAACCAATATAAAAAACATCACCAAAATAGCAATGAAAATTAAAAATAAAATAAAATAGGATAAAATGAGCAATACATGAAAATTTGGTTCATTCAAAAGAAGATAAAAAAACATCACCAAAACATCAATGAGAATTGAAAATAAAATAAAATAGGATAAAGTGAGCAACACATGAAAATTCAGTTTATTCAAAAAAAAGCATCACCAAAATAGCAATGAGAATTAAAAAATAAATAAAATATTAATACAAACATCACAACCACATACATCACCAAAATTCAGTTTATTCCTAATAAAATCATCACCATTTATATTTAACAAACAAAAAAAACGCAATGTGAATTTAACAAATACTAATACAATATAATCAATAAATACAAATCAATTAACACAAAACTCCATAAAATATTAATACAATATAATCAAACACAAAATTCCATCAACCATTATTCGGATTATGCAAATTAATCAACATAAAATAATTAACACAACCAAAGAATCACAACAATATCATTTTTTTCTCTAAAATTAAAAAAAAATCAGGTTTGAGCAAAACATTGCAAGATAATCAACATAAAATAATTTACACAACCACATTAAGTTCAATAAATCACAACATTGTTGGTTTTATCTCTAGAAATAAAAGAAAAAGGAAATTCGGTTTTGATCAAAACATTGCAAAATAATCAACATATAATAATTAACACAACCACATACATTTCAAAAAATCACAACATTGTCGTTTTTATCTCTGAAAATAAAAAAAATGGTTTTAAGCAAATTATTGCACTAAAAATAATTATAAAGSAAAGACAAGGGAGGAGGATGACTTACTTGAGTGTCACCGGCGATTGCACAGTGAGAATGCGTGAAATAAAAAAAAAAAACAGATCTTGTAATGAACAATACAAAGAGGGTTTCAAGTGTTTAAAACCTCAAAAAAACAAAAAATGTTCACAAAAACATGTGCAACATCGGTCCAAATGTGAAATGAACATGGTTTCTGATGAGTTTCTAGCTCGTTTGATGGTCGTCATTCGCTCCTAAAACATGTGCCATTGCTAGTATGCTCAACTCTGTTTGAATGAGGAAGAAGAGGGTTTAAGGAGCTATGGGGGTATTCTGGTCATTTAAAAAAAATAAACAGGGACCAAATCGTCCCAAAATTTTTGTGTGTCCACTTATTTAACAAGTGCTTAAAAAAAGCAACTCTCAAGTTGTTTTTTTAATAAGCACTTCTTTACCAAATTAGTACTTTTTTACCAAACACCTACAAGTGCTTATTTTCCACTTAATGTGTGGTCCCAACACTTTTATTAAGTACTTATAAAAAAATACTTATCACAAGTGAAATCAAATAGGGCCTTAGAGGGATGATTGCTCTAGGAAGATAAACTAATAAAAAAATGATAATAAGAATAATAAAATAATGAAAACAAAACACAAAAAATAATAATATAATAACAAATAAATTGGGTAGAAGAGTGAAAGAGAGGGGTTCAAGTTTGGTTGTAATTAGGTGACAAGGAGAATAAGGCGATAAAAAGGAATAATAATAAAAAATAATTAAATAATTAAAGATCTGATAAAAAAATGATAAAACAGGAGCAGAATAAATGAATTACTCATCCCATACAATTAATAAACACACAAATAAGGTTCCACAAAGAAAATAAATAAAAAGTAAAAAAAGTACATAATAAGAATATAACAAATAGTAAATAAAAGTAAATAAAGAAAAGCATAAAAACCAAAAAAAAAAGAGAAAAACAAAAAGTAGAAAATGTAAAATTTAAATAAATAGAAAATAAAAAACAAAATATAATAATATGCAAAAAAATTAAAGATGAAATCAAATGGGGGTCCATAAGAAAATAACACAAATAATTGATTAAATAAATTAAGAAAAAAAACACAAAAAATAAAAAATAAAAGTAAAAATATGTAAATATATATAAAATAAATAAAAACAATTAGGTAAAAATGTTTTGGATTCTTGTATGCTTTGTTATAATCTTAGCTAATTGAATAATTGTTTAAGTGTATTTGTGCTTGTTTGGATATCATATGGGCCCCACCTATTGGACCTGGGAGAGGGGTGCTTAACCCCTCCCCTCTCTCATCTAAGTSTTACTTGGATTGGTTCGCCAGTGTCTCGAGCTATTGGAGTCACTATTGAATTAAAACGATTTTGATATCATTCTTGAAGACTCCATCACTTCCTTTTCATATATGATGTGTGACGACTCGAAATCCAACTCAAGTGAGTTATTTCCCCACGCTAACGATGGCCGATTTCAATCAAGAGAGAAGGGAACCAGCTAAAACGTTGAAATGAGTTAGAGACACTTGGTGACCCACTTGAGCTCCCCAAGGAACTTCAAATTCAAATGAAGCAGCTACATGTCATGATTTTGTGCAGGCTGGGAATAAAGACGCTTTATTAATTTCTTTTTTTAAGCTCTTTTATTTACAAGTATATAAACGTTACAGCTTTATAGGAGCTTGGATCACCTGCCAATAAGATACACTCCAACACCCTATCAACATATCGCACATTTCACATCTAGTTGGTAGAGTGTTGGAAGTTATTTTATTGGTAGGACATCCCAATTAGGGTTGTTCACGGGTTGGGTTGGGTTGGTTTACTGATGCTTTTCCAACTGATCCGACCTAATCGGGTTATCTGAAATTGAAACCAAAATCGACCCTGTATTAAGCAAAATCGACCTGATCGGTTTGGGTCGATTTCGGCTCTATCAAAGCCGATCGGATCCAACAAAAGCTAAGAAGATGCTCTTTGCAACTGTAGATAAGTAGTGGTGAAATACTGAAATTTAAGGCAAATATTTATTTATGTACTCTTTTTTTATTCACCGATGGAGTGATGGGTCTTGGTCATCTTTAATGTTTACCTCCTAATGAACTCGATAGTGAAGAACTAAATAGGTTGTAACTACTAATTAGGAACTAACTACTAAGTCGGTTTGGGTCGGATTGGTTTCGGTTTTCACACATGGAAATCGAAAACGAACCGAATAATCATTTTATGATTTTTTATAACCCGAAACTGACAGGTACTGAAGAAAACCTGGCCGACTCGGATTGAATCGGACCGGATTGGTCGGGTTGGGTCTTATTATGAACAGCCCTAATCCCAATTCGTCTTGAGCTTGGACTCAATTGTGAGGTTGGTGTGGGAAGTGCTCGGTGAGGAGCAAAGGGTTCAGGGCCGTTTTCAAATTCCACCGTTAATTGAAAAGAAGAGGGTCAAGTTTCAGGGGAACGATAAGGAGAGGAAAGGAAAACAAGAGGACGTGTGTGGAGTGGGAGCTAGGAAGTAGGAACTAGTAACTTTCAAATAAACCTCTATGGAGTTTGGAATCTCCGCTGCTTCCCATGCTTCTCTCCGGCCATATTTCTCCCCCTCCAGACTTTCCGCCATCAACACAACCCCTCGTTGTCATTTCTCTCTCCGACCCATCAATTCTCAGGTACTTCTCTCTCGATAAATCTCTACTGTTACGCTCTCTAAATCACCCGATTTCTTCCGACAGATTGCGCTTTTTTCTATCGCCTTTTGGCTCTGGTATGCAAAATATATGGATTTTAGCTTGAATTTGTCGTAGAATCGAGAAGGGTTTAAATTGTCACCCTTCAATTGATCTGATTTTTTTTCGCAGTATTGGAGATGATTTAGCTTCGTTAATTGAATCTTCTTTCGTCATGGTCGAGTCGACTCTGTGCAGTCACAATTAGACTCGTCCGTTTTTACCCATTTACTTGGTTTCTGGACTGAATCATTTATGGTGGAATTTCTTTTGAATGGTCTTCTTGCAGGTCCTTCGATGGGAATCTGTGGCTACCAGGTTCATAGAAACGGACTTGCCAAGTTCCGTTCGATGTTTTAAATACAGTTTATTGTTTCTGCCACCGTGGAGGCTCAATAAAAGCATCCCATCTCGGCGTGGTTCATTCCTGGTAAGCTATGGCCTCTCTTCGAAGCTGACGGGAACTACTGTCAGTTCACAGAAACTAATAAATTGGCAGGAGAAGTTTAAAAGCGATGCATCAGTTCTGTTTGTCGGGTTAGTCGTCGGAATGATGCTGGTTATGTCGGTCTCTGTAGCTTTCAATAAGACTCCATCATGTAAGTTTATTGTTTGACTTGAGTTATTTGATTGCTTGGAACTTGAAAGTTACAAAGTATTCATATTAAGAGATTGGATAAATGAGGTTATAAGCACATCATAATACTTGTTCCTAATTGACATGTAGGGGCACTCACTGAAGAGAACCTCCTTTTCTTAGAGGTATGGAGGACAATTGACAGGGCATATGTTGACAAAACTTTTAATGGACAAAGCTGGTTCCGGTATCGAGAAAATGCACTGCGCAATGAACCGATGAAGACACGAGAAGAAACATGTATGGAACTCTTTTTATACTTATATGTTACTTATGGTAGTTGCATTGATTATTTCATATAGCTTGTTAAAGAGGAAGTTGGACACGCACATAAGCGTATATGTATTGTTTTTTTTTTTTTTGGGGGGGGGGTGTTATAGTTTAGTTCATTTATCATCTTCTCGACTATAAATAAAATACAACTTCACTAAACCGAGTACAGGTTCAGTTGCCAAAGTTATGTTATGCATGTCTTGATACTTTGAGGACTAGGAACTTGATCTTAAAATTTAATGTGGGAAACCTTTTAATGAAGTGCACTTGTTTATATAATAAGCTGATGGTGTTTATACCAAGTATTTATTGTTTGCCTTCTTTGTTAGTGGGAGTGAAGGGACACGTTAAGCACGACAATGAGGAAAAATTCTAATTGAGACTCAAGACTGTTATAACTTCCATATATTAATATTGCAATGTACCTTGTTGGTCCATTTGATAAGAATATTTTCTGTGTATGCTTTTAATGATGTAGACTCCTATCTAAATCAAAATGGTGTATTTCTATTCAGATGCGGCAATAAAGAAGATGCTTGCCACCCTGGATGATCCTTTCACTCGCTTTCTAGAACCAGAAAAATTCAAGAGTTTGCGGGTTTAAGTCTTTTCTTGTTTCTAAAATTAATGCATTTCTGATACAACCAAAAGGATGAGTCATGAACAAACATGCGATCTGATTGGGATATTTTGGTGTTATGTTTAAAAGGAAAGTATCTTTAAACTTTTCCCCTAAGATTGTTGTCATCTTCTTTTGAAGGCAGTCTGGCACTCAAGGTGCTCTTACGGGTGTGGGTCTGTCAATTGCCTATCCTACACAACTTGATGGTTCTACAGGATTTGTTGTTATTTCATCTTCTCCAGGAGGCCCTGCGAATAGGGCTGGAATTACATCAGGAGATGTTATTTTGGCAATTGATAAAACTAGTACAGAAACAATTGGACTATATGATGCAGCAGACAGATTACAGTAAGATTTCTGCTAAATAAGTAAACCTGATTTTTTTTTTCTTTCTTTTTTTTTGTGCTTCTTGATGGTTATATTCTTATTATGATGCAAATTGGTAGCTAGTGGAATAGTTTCAAGCTGTTATTGACGTTTAATGGCTTGGTTGGAGCATCAGAAAAGAAAATAAGATATGCTTATCTGTTGTTATTAGTTATTTGAGTGTTGGGATTTCTTTTTTCTGGTTCCTTGCTTGTAGTATTAAATGTGAGAACTTTTGTTTATTTTGTGGTATGCTGCTTTGTTTTTTCTGTTGCAAGGGGCTTTTGTTTGTGCAAGATTACACCTTTTCTAGGCTGACTTCCAATATTTTGATTTCTTGTTTTTCTTCTGTGTTTTGCTGAATTTTGGTTTTATGTGTATCTTTTATACAGGGCTTGGTTTGTATGGTTGTCAAATCTATAAATTTTCTTCCTTTTCATTTAGACTTCTTGTACACTTCATCTGGATCTTTTTTCTAATATATTTCTGTGGCCAACCATGAGAAAAAGAAATCGAAATATTTTGAAGAACTACCTTCTTTGTATGACCAAAATTTGGAGGTTCTTGTCATCCCATATAATATCTAATACTCTTTATATCTAATTGGACTTTTGGCACTTGAACTGATGTTTCCTACTTCCTAGTGGCATTTCCATAACTTTTTCAGGTATAATACATCAATAATGCCCTGGTTTTATCCATTATGCTACATACTTCTAATAGAACTAGGTGTATCCTTCAACAAGCTAAGGGTATCAACTGAAACTCCTAGGATTTATGATATGGTTATTGCTCTAAGTCACTTTTCTTTTGGATCAATTGAATGCTCATAAATGATGTGGTTTCATCACATTTATTACGTGCAGACTTGACTCTTTTTGTGTTCGGGTTGTAAGCTTTTAGATCCTTAATTATTTTGGGAAATTGTCAATTGCTCATATTTTTCTGAAGTAGTAAAGATGTACTTAATTGTAGTGGAAGGGATTTTTTTTATATGATGATAGAGCAGAAGAGAGGGTGGTTTTGAATATTTCACTTCCCTTGCGTATGCATTTTTCACTTCCCTTGTGTATGTATAAACATGTTAATACTCAATAGACTGTTATAATACTAGGAAGTGGAATAATTACCTGACTATCCTTGAGATTGCAGTCATTAAACTAGTACTTTTACACAGCAGAGATCTATGCTATATAGGTTTGAGTGTAGATATTTCTTACAACATGCTGTACATTTGTTGATATTTTAATTTGTTCAGATTATTTTGATAAAAATGTTGAAGAGAAGACATGGACCTTACTGTATTTAGRAAATGAAAACCTAGAACAGATTAAAGGATGACCTGAGCATTTCCTTTTATTGTTTTGCTATTTTCTATATCTAATATGTTATTATGTTAAAAGATTATGTAAAATTGAACAGAAGAAAGACTGATCATTAGCTAGCTTATTGATCGTTCTGAAGTCACCGAATTATTGTTCAAGGATTAGAATTCTTTTTGAAATATTTCAGCTGATCAGGCTAAAAGTTAAAACCATGGAATAACTTTTACTAATTTCTCAGGGTCCACTGTGTCACATTGATTCTGGTTGAACCACTAGAAGCAGATTATTTATTAGGTTGATTTGAGCCAAAGCAACTAACAGTTGTGTTCTTCTGCCAGGTCCATAAGAACACTAAAAGCCTAAAATGACTCGAGGGCTCTAAATGTTTACCTACACTGTTTCCCCTTGTTTTATTGAATGTACTTATGTCTTGACCTGGAAAAAGGTGGTTAGCATAGAAATTAGAATGAGGTTAAATCCTCCACACACACAAAAAAAAAACCTATCTACAACAATGGGAAGCTTAGAGATCAGAGCATATGTTATAACAGTGAACTGATGCTTTGTGTGCTTGTATTCTTTGGTGTCCTAATGTTGTGAATTGCATGTTCATGTTTATGTTCTAAATGGAAGAGTTGGATTACTAATTCATTTAGAGAAGCTTTCTATGCATCTTTAAAGTTTCTTTTTCTCCACCCAATATCACGATTACATATAAGGTTGCTTATTCATTCACCTTTGGTTTGCCTAATGAAATAAATGCATTGCAGGGGTCCGGAAGGAAGTTCAGTGGAATTGACCATACGCAGTGGGTCTGAAGTAAAAGAGATAGCTTTGACGTAAGTCCAATGCTCTGGGAATTTCATGGACATGGTTGTGACTTAAATCTTGTAGTTTAAGTTAGATTTTGTTTCAATAATTAAAGTGAAGATATCTCTTTTGAATTTCTGGATATGATCTTGCTTTTAATTTTTTAATGCTTTAACTCTATGACCTCTCTTGTGATACACTGATGTGAATGTCATAGCTTACATTTAGATTATATTATACCACTTGATCAGATGCTGGTACCAAATTAGTTTCTTTTTACAATTAACTGAATCACTGATTTCAGGCGTGAGAAGGTTCCACTTAACCCAGTGAAGTCAAGATTATGTGAGGTACCTGGTTTGGGGAAAGATGCATCCAGAATTGGGTATATCAAACTTACATCATTCAACCAAAATGCTTCTGGTGAGTTGTTAGTTATAGATGCATTTAAAAGCTCTACTTTTTGGACTAAATTACTTGGGTGGGTTGAACAGTTCTTTTACAATCATGGATTAGAAACCTGAAGGAATATGAAATATCAATGTTTTCTTCAAGTTTAGTTAGAAATAGATAGCAAGAAAATATACAAAAGAAACAGGAAAGATTAAGAAGAAATACATAACACAAGGAAGTAGGAAAAAGTAGAAGAATTGCTTTTAATTGATGTATAGGAGAAAATTTTAAAAAATTTGACTTTATTTTTCATATTTATTGTAGTACATTTTCTTGATTTGGTTTAGACCAAATTATCAAAAATCACCCAATTTTTCCTAGGGCCTAAAAAACTTTGACAAAAAGTACCAAAAATCTTTTCTAAAAGTGCAATTTACACCCTGGTATGGTCCTAACGCTAAAGTTTTCACTTACTATTTTTCCTTCTTTTTTTTTTTTGGGGGGGGGGGCATGCCTGTGAAAATCTTATGTTGTAAAGTCAATTTCTAAGAGCAAGATTATGTCACAATGTGGACCTTTCTTAATTAATCCAACTTTTTCCATCAAGTAACTGTAGCTTCTCCACAATAATTTCTAGTTGCCTGTTTACTATGACAACTATTAATTGCTTTATAGGTGCTGTCAAGGAAGCAATTAGAACTTTGAGGAGGAATAATGTCAATGCTTTTGTATTGGACCTTCGAGATAACGGGTGATTAGCTTGTGAAAATATATCCTTCAATGTTTTCCTTGATCATTCACAGGCTTTCTGAAATGCTGATTTTGGTGCAGTGGTGGTCTTTTTCCAGAAGGAATTGAGATTGCTAAGATATGGTAAGCTTTGTTATCTTTTAGGTTGTACTCCATGATTTTTTAATCCTTTCCCTACACCTTGCTTTAAACTCGTCAAATTGGTTTCCATAAGCACATGTTCTATTTATATACTTCTGGAATTGGCAACAGCAAAGAATGTTATATTAGGAAACACAGATCCAAACTGGGCTTCTAGACAAGATCCTGACAATGTAACTAGATACCTGAGATAAGGATCAACGGAAAAGTTCTATTTATCTTGTAGTCATTAAAGTCTGGAGGATGAATTGGTTCTGCTTGGTGGTGCTTCTTTCTTTTGCATTGTTATCACCATGGAATATGTTAACTATCAATATAATGTTGCTGCTTTTGCTAGCAGCTTTCTTGGAATCACTTGCCCATGATCAAATCATATGGGAGCAACACTCATTTGGACAATAGGTCAGCCAATACTTTGGCTGATTCATTGGCAAGAGGAGTCACCAGAAACGAATTATTGTGGATATTGACCTCCTGGGGATCTAATCCGTGAGTTAGTTAGCTTGGCTACCCTAAATTGTAAGGGCTGCATAGGCACATTCTACGTTGTGTTCTATTTTTTTTTTCCCTGATAAAAAATAAGGTTAGACTTTCAAAAGTAACCTGAAGTTATATGGAGAACTTGTTGCATCTTGCATGGAAAATCAACTATGCCATAAACTGAATAAAATATTACAAACTTAAAACGGGAGACTGACAATTCACCTCCCGGGTCCTATGTCAAATTATCATTGCCACTATTTGACTATTATAAAAGAAAAAAATACTATATATTGATTAGTTATTAAAAGTGCAAACCCCCTTGATCAGAGAGGTATGGGTCTTTGCTTTCTAGAGTGAAACCATCGTTCAACTAGGTTCCAATACCAGCCAACCATTTATTGCACAATCTCTCTGTGAGGCTGCTTCAAGGAGTAAGCTATTTTGGGATAAACAGTTGATAATTATTGTATTTGTGCGGAGAATCTGATTTATATCATTGGGCAGTCTTGGGTTCTTACTTATATGTTGTTTTGTGTTCGGAGTTCATAACTACATATATAATTGACTAGTTTTCATACTTCAGTACATTGCATTTACCATGCTTGATACAAAAACAAAAGAAGACTTTAGACTCCCTTCATCTGATCATTCCAAAGTGGTCTCAAGCTCTAACTCTTCCAATAGTTGAAGTTTCATGAGTAATAAAAGAATGGGGCTTGGATTAATGTCCCTTTCAAAAGTGTTCCCATAGAATTCTTGGCTAACTGTACCAAGCATTTTATCTTGGATTCTCTTGTTCTACTTCTTTTACTAACATTTTGTAGTAAAAGTTGAACTTGTGTGTCAGTTATGCGAGGACATCTGCTAGAAGGATTTGTGCCACTTTAGTGCTTAAAGTTGAACTTGGTTACTTGTGTAATATATAGTACAAGAAAATGCAATGCATTTGCATTTCCACATGTAAATCTCTTCTTGTTTTAGTAATTTGTAGGGGAGAATCTTATATCTATATCATCAGTAGTTTCACTTCAAAGGGTTGGTTACCTATTTTTAGATCCTTTGTAACAACTTTGAACTGTTTGTAATGTGTGGTAGTCTTTCAGTTCTCTCATGTTGTGGAAACTGCTTTTAATTGTACCTTATGTGTCTGTTGTTGACAATGTGACTAATGAATTTTCATTTATGCCATTTTCTCCAATGAAGTTGGAGAATTAAAAAAAGAATCTCTTTGTAGTAATGACCCATATGTATTTGTAGTTATGAATTCTTTTCAAGGTAGAAATTGTTTACTGCCAGTCCCTTGTAAGCCTTTCAGTGGTTTTACAGATTGTACTATTATAGTTTTGAATTCCATATCTTTGAATAATTAATTGTTGTACATGTTTCATAATTTTCTATTTGCTATTTAGGTTAGACAAAGGTGTCATTGTATATATTTGTGATAGCCGTGGTGTGCGAGACATATATGAGACAGATGGAAGCAATGCATTGGCAGCTTCAGAACCTCTTGCTGTACTGGTATTCTTATTTTACACAGATCATGATATTCTTGTAGTTTTTAAGAACAAAGTTAACTTTATACTGCATGATAGTTTGTACAGCCTTGTTGACCTCAAGGACTGTTGTTTGTTTGAGACATTGATTCATTCAGATAAGCTTTCTGTGTTAACAGAGTATTAGACACCATTAGGCAGATTGTAAAATTATTTTTCAAGATCTCTCTTTTTGTAACTGAATAGCTTACGTTTTTTTATCACACTTGATTTTCCAATGCTATCACAGGTGGTGTTCATTTTTGAGTCCAGGCTGCAGTCATTTCCTTTTTGGGCTTTTAATTAGGCCTGTACACGGGTTGGGTTGGTTCGGTTTTATATAGTTTTACCAACTGAACCAAAAGTTTCGGATTGAATTTTATACAAACTGAAACCGACCACTTAACAATCAAACTGACTGAAAAATAATATTCACAACATAGTCAGTTTAATTGGTTTCTATCAAACTGACCGAAATATAAAACTTTTACACGTGATGGTGCTGGCCAATGGGACAAATCTTGATAGGAGAAAAATAAATAAATAGAGACTGATGCAGACAAGACTGATTCTTGCCACAGTCCTATCATGGTCTAGGACCCTAGGGTCTCTTCAATGAAACTGGATTCAGTCAGTGCAAGGCCCATTCAAACAGCCTTTCAGCCTTTATAGCCACTGCCTCCCTCTGTTCAAACAGGTCTTGCACTGATTGAATCCGATCTCCTCTTTAATGGCCTTTTGCTTTTTTCACTTTTGTGGGATTTTGAGTTTTTGACAATTTGAAAAGTGGGAGGCAGTGGCTGAGGTTACTAAAAGGAAAAAGAAAAAAAATGAAAAAACAAAACCTCATAGATATAGGGGCTAGGGACTAGGTTGCAGTTATATATGAGATATAAATGTAACCGGTCGGTTCAGTTGCAGTTCTGTTTACAACATAAGAAGCCGCAAATGAACCAAACAGCCGGGTTTTACAACTTTTCAAACTGAAACTGGCTGAACTTATTTGAGAACCAACCAAATCAGGTTAGGTAGGTCCGGTTTGGTCGGTTCTTACCCTTTTGTGAACAGCCCTACTTTTAATATTCTTGCATATTAGTCTTTTTAATGATTTTTTCACTTTCCCTGAAGAATTTCATTTGGAAAAAAGCACCATTTTTTTTGAAACACAACTGTTTTATTGTTCTTGAGTCCCTGTTAGGTGAATAAAGGAACTGCAAGTGCAAGTGAGATACTAGCTGGTGCTTTGAAAGACAATAAACGTGCAGTTCTCTTTGGAGAGCCCACATTTGGAAAAGGGTAGTTATTATTGTTCCCTCACAAGATACTTGTATATCACATACATGTAAATTTATCCATAGGATGTCAACTTTGCAGGAAGATCCAGTCAGTTTTTGAGCTGTCCGATGGCTCTGGTTTGGCTGTTACGGTGGCTCGATATGAGACTCCTGCTCATACAGATATTGACAAGGTTTACAACCTGTCTTGAAACAATTCTCCCCCTCCCTCTTTTCTCTAGTGAATGTGCTACTTGTTAATCCGTCTATTCTTTTGCTTTGCACTCGACCAGGTTGGTGTGACCCCGGACCATCCTCTGCCAATGTCATTTCCTGTGGATGAAGATGGGTTTTGTAGCTGCCTCAGGGACCCTACATCTGCTTGTTATCTCAACAAAGTCAACTTATTTCCAAGGTTAGAGAAGCCCTTGGCAAGTGTAAATTAACCTTTCTTAACGTTGATTAATGCCATTGATAATCAGTTTTCTTTCTGGTTTAAATGAGAGGTTGAGAACTTAATTGGAAGGGTCTGACATCAAAATATGGTATATTGTTTGTTGAGGAGAGATTTTCTCATTTTGTGTGTCAAAGGTTAGGTCTGTATCCAATCCACACCCCAAGACCCAGATAGCTAGGACCAACTTTGGTTAATGTGTAATGGCATTTAAACTGCTCAATGCGGATCATATTGATTTTTCATAATTCATTTCACTGTAATGAGTGTACAGGGAAAGAAAAAAAATAAGTGAAGACACTGAAAATGAAAGGAATGTTTAGGAAAGATCAAGAATTCTATAGAAATATGATAAAAAGGAAATTAGGAAAGGACATGTTTATCTGTTTTTTTTTAATATAATTTGAAAAAGAAGACTGATTGTTCCTTTGCTGTTCTGGGTCATAGGCTTCAAGGGGTGTTTGCCAATTTGTACTATTTTGTATTTTAAAACTAAAACAACTATCACTTCAGCAAAATCATACCTCCTTAAACATTCTTCAACATCCCTTGCATAATTCCTTTAAGCCAATTGGATTCACTTTAGGTTAGCTTATTAATCTAGGTTACAGGGAGGGCGTTGCATTTTCTTTTCTCGTTTGTTTTTCACTGCTGGGAAAATTTGTTAAAAACAAGAAAGAAGATAGCTCAGGTATCCAAAAGACTAAAAATAGTTAGAATGGAATCTTCAACACATGGTAGTATGGTACTGAAAAACATGCAAGCAACAATCTTCCAGGACGTCTATGCAAYACCCCGCAGTTGTATTTTCGTTGCAACCATAAACGTCGATTGTAAAAATTGTTGACTAGGCCGTTTCTGCATTGGTTTCACACTTCCACCTAAAATCAAGGTGGAGCATTTCAAAGGGGCAAATTGATTGATACACCTCACTAGGGGTGTCAATGGACCGGTTTTGTATTTGGACCCYGTTCAAACCAAAATCAATTTGGACGGATTGGATGGACCAACAAAACATTGAATTGGACCAATCCAGACTTAATGGTCCAAAGTATTTATTTGATTGGATTGAACCTGGTCTATTCATAATGAATTTATATTAGAATGGATTGGATTGAGCCAATATCTGGTTTAATTGATAGAATATAAGAATATAGGTGTCAATGGACCAGGTTTGGATTAGAAATAATCTCAGTTAAAACAAATTTGAACAGATTAGATGGTCCAGACATTGAATTAGACTAGTACAAAACGGTACAAAATATTCATTGGATTGGATTGGACCAAATCCAATCCAATTGACTGCCATATTTGCTTTTCAAATACATGGCTGGCATATTCACATATCCTAGGCATCATTGTTGCGTTGCACCTTCCACGGTAAACAGGCTATATCAAAGAGACCTGATTCAGTCCTCACAAGACCGGGCTCACACCATACTCACAGCCACTTGTAACCGTGTTTTGGGAATACCTCCGTAATTGAATGTTTTTTATTCATAGAATCCCAATGCATAACTGCAAGTGGTTGTGAGGATAGTGTGAACAAGGTCTTGTGAGGACTGAATCCAAGTTCATATCAAACATGATTTTTAGGGAGAATGACCGATACCCCCCGTGTCAGAATTTGTAGGTTCAATGTACGGTCGGGATAGGTGCCCGCTCGAAATTGATGCCAATCCACGGGCGAGCGTGAGTACATAGAGTAGGGGTATCGGTCTATTTGAATGTTAAAAATCTTCATTGGACAAATCCATACTTTTCTGTTTTATTTAATCATTGAGGTCTAAATGCTGATTTGGCAGCATACGAACTTACAATGGAAACCAAACGCAGCCATATCAAACATCATCTTAGTGAAGAAGGCTGAACAACCAAGGAATTTAACATATGAAAAATTGGTCCTCTCTTGTTATCATTTGGGCCAGTCGAGCTGCCATCCTCACTGAATTTTTGCATGTGTGGTGACGGATCTGTATGCATCTCATGGGATCTGGCATCGTCACACATTATCGTCTACTAATGGCCAAATTTGAGCCTAAAAATCTTTGCTACGTGGGCAGAATAAAGCTGTTTTTTATTAAGTTTTTTTATCATAAATATTGAAACTTTCAATGCCCAATATTCGTTATAGAAATCATTAATAAGAAGGTTGATGTGGAACGTAGAATTTAATAGGTGGTCAATCCAGGAGGTCTCCTACTTAAATTGTTTCTATGGCCGGTCATACCACCACATAGCAGAGAAATGAAAAAAGGTCGTGTAAGGAAGTCCTCTTCTTGACCCAAATGGATGAGGATGAAAGTGGATTTGGTTGTCAGGTCATTTAGTGAACAAGGCTAAGTGGCCAAAGAACTTCCACATGGCAAACTGTATTAGGGCTCAAAATGGCGAGTTCGGATCTCCTACCCACAAGAACCCTAGGTACACCTACCCATGCCTTATTACAGCTGTGCATTGAGAACAACTCGCTATTTACATGGTATCATTCATGGGGAGATGTTCCCATCCCAATGTACAATTGTAGTGTCATGTGGATTAGGAGATCTGAATTCCAACATGGCCATACAGGTTCCTCTCACTATCTTTTTCTCATTAGGGAAGTGCTCAATTTGATGGGTAGCTCAGATAAGCCACATCATCCATCCATTTGGAAGAAATTGAAGGTTGGTGAGAGAAAGGACCAAGACCATTTCTGCCACGTGGAGGGGTGATGTCGCCAATTCATCTATCCACCAAGTGGGTTTTTGTTAATATTTTCTACAAGTAACATTGGCCATTGAAAATATCAATGTTTTAATAGTGAACTTGCTGAAAAGAGAGCTTTATTCTGACCATTTGATAAGGATTTTAGGGCTCAAATTTTACCCATCAATAGAAGAATGTAGGGATGTCAATGGGTTGGGTTAAATGGAAAACCCGGCTTTGACAGGGTCAGGTTAGGCTCAATATATTTGGCTTTAGGGTCGGGTTATGGTTTTGATTATTCAACCCGAGTCAGGTTTGGGTTTTGACTGACCTGCTCCGCCGGGTCTGATACCCTACATATATACACAATATTCTTTTAACTTTTTGACTTCTAGTTCTATAGCTTTAAAGTTTAAGGTTTATTTACATGTTGGTTTTGATTTTTTTTTAAATGGGAAAAGTGGCATATTAGATTTTATAAAACAATTTTCTAACTTAAATTAATGGATTTTAGGTCTTCAAAACGTGTTAACAAAATACAACCGAAATGCTATGGGTCAGGTTGGGTTGGTGTCGGGTTAGACCCTATAGGGTCAAGTCGGGTTTGGAAATTATGTATTTTTAAGGCGGGTCAGGTCGGGTTGTGGGTTAAGGCACTATAGAATCGGGTTAGGGTTGAGGCAAAGCCGTGCCAAATCCCACCCTAGAAGAATGGACTGAGGAATATGTGACGCCATTTGGCTCTAAAGCAATTTTCCACACGCACACATACACACACAAATGGGGTTTTGGTTAGGTTGTCATGGACTTGAACCAACCCAACAGGGGAAAGATCACCATCACTTAAACAAATTCTAAATTTCTAAGTGTTACAAAATCTTTTTCCAACTCAATGTATGAATGCTATCTATGAGATCTCCAACAATTTATTGATGCTAAAGTGAACATTAACGATCATCTTTACAAATGGTGTTAAAATATGGCAAAAAGGCCAAGGAAAAGGATATACTGTACGGATGTGTTTATTACAGTCATCTCAATCAATACCTGCACTCTTGTTTTGAAAGAATGTCTCTAATTTCTAATGGTGCCTACTAAGCTCTAGCAAATTGAAAAATGATTTTGCAGAACTTGCAGCCAAGCTGTCAATATTTTGTTACACAATGCTTACTCGTTCTGTTACCAATGTTTGCAAAGACTCATTCTGCTTTAGAAATTCCAGCTGCACTTCGATCTTCCAACTGTTCATCCTGATTTCATCAGTGCGCTGGCCTCTTCCACTGGTAATTATTTATCTGCATGGAGTAAGGGGTCTACGAGGCTCAGTCACCATCTGCCTGAGTGGGAGCTCAGAATCTTCCATTGTCAAATACAACCACAAAGGCTTCCATCTTCAGTAACTCAACTGCCCTGAACTTACAAATATACAAATCTAGAACTCAAGTTATTAGCTTTGATGTTGTTGAGAAAGAATAGAGCAAGCTAACTTTGTACTTTTCTAGCACTTTAGTAGACTTCTAGGCATTTGCAAACAAACCATGTGGGATCCACACGCTAGCCAAGTATGCCAGGAATGCTATAACAACTTAGTCCATGATCCCAAGAATGGAAAGACAGCAATAAGCAGCCTTAGCAGCAATGGTGTGCTTTTGTTTCTCCCTTTCCTGCTCAGCTTTCCCTTTTTCTCCACCTGTGGCCTTGATATACCACCTCCTGTTCCAAGTGGCATCTTTGTTGGCTCCTTATCAGGCTTGCCTCGCCTATCCAGCTCATCCCATCCACCAAAACCAGACTCATATTGACCACCTTTATCTGAACCATAGTTGGCTGCCACCCATGACTGATATCTATACCTTCCATTGCCAGTTCCTCCGATTTCTTCTTGTTTTTCTTCTTCACTCATTTGAGCATCACGTGGAGTCCTGGCAAAAGGATTCTTCTTGGTCTTGGATCTACGTTTTGGGCTATCACGAGTCCCTCCCCACAACTTATCGATTGCTAGAGAAATTGCAGACTGCCCAAGTGGAAGTGCTAAAGCCATGAGGAAAGCTTTAGGACCTGAAGCTATCAACATTGATAGAATGATGACTGGAAGTGCCCATCCAAAAGAACTGAATACCTGCACTGATCCAACAGTATGGCATCATCATACATCTTTAAAACAGCTAGGTTGCCAATCAACCATAGGAACATAAGAAACTGATATTAAATTTCAGTAAGTTATTAACAAATGAATGTGAAGACATTAGTTTGTTTAAGAGAAAAGATTTCCAGGTAGTAACAATTTCACTAGAAGGCAGGAGGTGAGAATTGGCCATGATAGTTGATCATTACCACTGGAGTATGACACTGAACCTTCAAATTTAACATGTAAGAAACTCATATGTAGTGAAAAAAAAGCAGGAATTTTGCAACCCCCCCCCCAATTTTCTATGTATCTTGCACTATACAATGGTAAAAATCTGGTGTCATCTCTACCAATATTCTACAATGCAACACCAGAATGATTGGGTGGTCATGAATGCACCATGAAAATACTAACTGGATAATTTAAGAGAACGAAAGTTGAATTTTGCAATTTCCGACTGGTAACTGGCATACTTTGCAGAAACTAACTTGGATTCAAGGCAAGGAATGCAAAGGAACCTTAGAAATCTATTGATGCTCATCATATGTCACACTAATAACGTCTTCCTAACTATTTCAGTGTCTCTGTTTGTTATGAACACCAAAAACAGAACTAGAGAGATGCCTACGGTGAGAACTGAGAATAGTCATTAACAAAATAATTACATAAATAAATGGGAATTTAAACAAATTCTTATCCTCGAATCTCACGACAGTCATCACACTGTTTAAATCTTTCAGTTGGGTCATGAGTGGCCAAGAGTTTCTTGCCCTCAGATTTCTTATCTTCGATTAACACTTAATTCTTCCTCTTCTTCTTTTAATCGTTTCTCACAATGGGGTTATCAAGTGGACTTAGTGACAAAGTCAAGCTAATTTTCTCTGAATTTCACCCAAATGCATGGACACAATAACCATTTTCATCGCCCCAAATGCAAATCGAGTGTGCTTGACCTAAAGAACATGTATTAAGCACAACTAAATTTAAGTAATGAAGTTATTAACAAACAAATACCAGAATTCAATAACAATGGCAGTAACAAGTTTTAGCTGCCTTAACAAGCAATTACCTTTAAAATCCAGAAGCTATCAATAACTTCCTCAAAGACCCCGGTTCCCCGGTCGTTATCCCAGGACGATGGCCTATCAGACCACCATTTCCGTTGTTTGTATCGCCTTCTGAAGCCAATACCGTCATCGTCATCTTCATTAATCGATTCTTCTCCGAATCCGAACCTGGATCTTTTTCTTCGGAGGGGCTCGGCGTTTGAATTCCAGTACGAACTGTCACTGCCATCACTTCGACGAGGACGATACCTGGAGCAGCAGAGAACATGAGCCGAGTAATTAGGGTTTCGGGCGGGAGAGAAACTAGGGCTTCTCGGTGGCATTGATGGAGCACTGACTAAGAAGGGGAATGCGAAGAGGCGAGTCTCCATGCTGGAACGCCAACTCCATCTATCTCATCTTGGTAACGTTATCCCTTCCTGGTCTCCTTCAGTTTCAGTGATGGTTCATGGTCAATTGGTCAGTGGGATGGGGGAGACCAGATGGTTCGGTCCGGACTCAACCGCCGGCTTGGACATTAGAATTAATTTAGGCCCTGTTTGACAAGTCTTTTTGAAAAATCTTTTGGGCTTTTAGAAGCCCAGTAGACCAAAAATGGTCTTTTTTTCTGTTTGGCTAATGAAAGCCCGTTAGAGCGAAAGACAAATCCCAAAAAGACTCTAAAAGACCGAAGTGGTTTAGATCTGAGAAGCCCCAAGCCAAGTTTATGGTATATGCGGGCTTCTCAACTTCCCAATGCTTTTGACAAAAATTCGAGAGAAACTCCTTACCCCAAGGTATCTTCTTCTTCTTCTTATCACAAATACTAATCAAGGCTCATTATTTATTGTGTTCAAGTTTTTCATTGTGTTCTTCTCATTTTTCATCTCATCGTTATTTATCATGTTCAGCAAACCCAACACAACGCTGAATTACAATTGTGAGAGTTGGGGATGATGTATAAGGAAAGAAGATAAAGCTGATAAAAACAGGGGAGAGAGATAGAGATATAACGAGAGATAGTAGGAGAGAGAGAATGAAATAATGGAATGGAGTGGATAGATCGCTGCTGTTGTGATTTGCAGCAATGGTTGGGAAAAATAGAGGTGGTGGAAATTGGTAAAAAAAAAAAGAAGAATAAAAGAAAATAAAAAGAAGGGGAAGGAGAGAAAGAGAGAGAGAGAGAATTGAATGATGAGAGAGCTCGGATGGAGTCGTGGTTGCTACGTTATCAGATTGTGTTCGTCGCCACTGTGAAGAAGACAAATAAGGCGTTTCAGGTCATTAGTCCTATACTCTCCTATACTCCATGGAAGAGAGAGAGAGAGATCGATGGCACACCGTTCCGCCACTATGTGTTGAGAGGGTATTTTGTAATTTTAGGAAAGTTGGGTCAAACCGAGTTTCTAATCTAACCGTGGGGTTTAAACTTGTTCAAAGCCGGGTCGGGACGGGCTTTGCCTCTTTATCAATAGAAAATGTCAAGGCCTAAGCCCAAGCCTAGTCCGACCATCGAGCCTAGATCTTGAGCCCGAGCCTGGTCCTTATATAAAGCCCAAAGCTCGATCTGCACATAAAATATCATATTTTCAGTGTAATTTTATAAACTAGTGTTATATTAATTTAGTAATAATTTAATAAATCAATAAACTAATATGTATTTCCTAAATAGTATATTAATATTTGATAATAATTTAATGAAAAAATATATTACATATATTTATTATATATAACATWAGTATTTTTTATTATATGTAATAGTGTCGAGCTAGGATCGGGCCTGGGCCCTAACCAGGTTTATTTGAGAAAGCCTGAGCCCAGCCTGAAAAATAGTCGAGCTTGGTATTTAAAACCCAAGCCTAAGCCCGTGGGCCTGAAATTATGTCCAAGCCCAAAAAATAACAGGTTGGGCTAGACTGGTCCGTTGAGCTACCTAGTCCATGAACATGTCTAGTGGGGTTTTTGAGTCAAAGTATGAAGGGTTGAGATGAGTCTGAGCATACGCAGTGATTTTATGTGCATGGGCCAATAGGATTGACCGAAGTAGAATCTTTTTATATTAGTGGGCAATCAAGGGTATTAGGTTTTCGGGCATTCTAAATCGATCAGTGGGGTTAGATTGACCTAACTCGGCCTGGATCAGGCAAATCTGGAAAGGGGAGTGGTTTGGTCGATCTAGAACTTTGAAACAGAACTTTGGTGCGATAGAGGGGAAAATGAGGGAATCTTTGGTTAAAATTTGTTGGGGTGGGGGTTTTGAGCATTTTGGACCAATTTGTGGGGTTAAATTGACCCAATTGGGCTTGGATTAGATAGATTTGGAGGAGTAGCGATTCAATTCATCTTAAGCTTTAAAACGAAATCTTGGTAAGATGGAGAGGAAAATGAGGGATTCTTTAGTTGAAATTGTGTTGTGTGTTATGGGATCCATAGGTAATATTTGCATGTCTAAATGTGTTATTGGGTCCCACACATAACATTTAACATGTATGTAAGAGGGAACGGCAAGTATGCTTGACAAATAGTCTCTCGGTCTTTCTAGGTTTTGAAAGGATCTTTAAAAAAATTGCAACTAAACGATCTTTTAGTCTTCGAAGATCTACTTGTAAAACCTCATCAATCTTTTGTGGTCTTGAGCTTTTGGAAGATCTTCATAAAAAGACTTACCAAATGCCTCCTTAGTCCAACAGTTAAGGTTGCATTTGGGAAGAGTATAAATACAAAATAATTAGTATTTAGTTAAGAAAAATAAAAAGTTGGTTTGGTTTTGTAGTGATAATTCCGCGTTCTTATGTACAAAAGTAAACCCCTTCTCAAATTGGAACCCACCTTTTTTTATATTGAACAATTTGAGTGTAAAATTTTGTATCCATTTCATTTGAATGTAAATATGGCTTGGAATCACCAATTGATGATGGCTCAATTGATAGGATCTTTGGCTTGTCAAGTAAAGACGTGGGATCAAATTCCATTGGCACCAAGGTTTGGGGTGGGGGCAAGGGAGGTGGATGGATTACATCCCAAAACCAGTTTATTGTCATTAAAATCTATGTTTATTGTCATTATCAATACATAAATACATTTTTACTAAATACTTGTAAAATGCATTATATACTAAATCAGCATTTGCACACTTTTCAAACTAGTAAATTTGCATGTGTTTGCACGTGGCAATTTTAGATGATGAAGATAGTAATATACATCCAAATTATTTTAAATTTTGTATATATTTCTGAGTATAAAATAATTCTATATTATAGATGCCCCAAATGTTTTCTACAAATATTTTGTATTTTTTGTATTCTTATCTTTCTATAATTTTTATTATTTAATTATAGCATCATGTATTGACCCATTTGACCTAGATGATTTACCTTACCCTCCACCTAGACAAAAGGACAATTTCATTTTTTTGGTTCAATTTTGAAAAAAAAAATGTGATTTATATTGTTAAAAGTATTGGATATATATCTAATAACATAATTTATTGGTGAGAAAATATCTTAAATATATCATTTAATGATAAAGAATGAATGTTAGTACCTCAAATGTATGACTTAATAAAAGGGATTTGAATGAGGTGAATTACTGAAACCTCCCTTGAAGTTTCTAATCGTTGCTGAAATCTCCCCTGAAGTTTGGTGATTGCAATCGCCTCCCTTGATTTTTCTAATACAGTTGCAAGTAGACCCCCCCCCCCACACACACACACAAATGCCCAAAATACCCATGTAGTTATTATTGAGGCTAGTTTTTGCATAACAAACAATACAAACTTTAAATAACAAAAAAAATTTAAATTGCAACTGTACTTTTGAGGAATTGAAAGGATTTAGGGTAGGGGTGGCCAAAAGCTGAGCTGCTCACGAACTATTCAAGCTCGGCTTGTGAAAAGCTTGGTTTGGCTCGGTCTAAACCGAGCTTTGATCCGAACTCGAGCCTAATATATAGGATTGTTTACTAATCGAGTCGAGCTTGAGCTTAATAAAGCTCGGCTTGKGRGGTTCGCGAGCCTAATCGAGTATGTGTACATAGGGTGTCACCTCAGCTCGTCACCTTGCTATTAAGGAAGACCTCGGCCACTAAGGGAGACCTCGGCTCAGCACCTTAACAACTATGGGAAACCTCGGCTTGGCACCTCGACAACTAAGGGAGACCTTAGCTCGGCACCTCGGCTGCTAAGGAGACCTCAGCTCGGAACTTTAGCAGTTGAAGGAGATTTGCAATCAAAGGTAGTTGAGATCGAGCCAATCCGAGCTTGAACTTTTGAGCTTTTGACTCGAGCTGAGCTCCAGCTCAAGTCTCTAATTCGAATCTAGAGTGAGCTCGAGCCTGATAGTATATGAGCGAGTCGAGCTCAAATAGCCAGATATTCAGCTCGGCTCGGCTCGAATCCACCCCTAGTTTGTGGTATTGATTGATATGAAGGAAAAAATTGGAAAATAAACATTTTAGCCAAAGTAACTGCATGGTTATTTTGGACATTTTCATGCCTCTTGTTAGAGGATTATAAGAGAAGGGTTATACTTGCAATTATGTTAAAGTTCAAGAGAGGTGATTGCAATTACCAAACTTCAGGAGAGGTTTTTAATGGTTAGAAACTTCAGGGGACGTTTTAGCATTATACCCTTTAAAAACATGGGTTTCATATTGTTAAAAATTATTTTTGTATTTGATTAAGATCTAATTATTAGAATTATTAAATAAAAAATACCTCAAATACAAGATTTAATGTGAGAGAATGTGAATTAATACCTTAAATATAAGACATAATGAAAGGGAATTAAATAAGGTGAAAATTATAAATGATATTACATTATTAACTCTTAGAAGTAAAGAGGGGACTATATTAAAAAATAGGGGTAGTTTAGTTAAGTTCTAAACCCTCATTGGTACTTTTAATAGTATAAATAAATATACTAGATGTGTGTATGTATGTATGTATGTATGTATGTATGTATGTATGTATAAAATAAAAATAAATATACACAAAAATTTTGACTTTACGTGGAAATTTTAAATTACAATAAAAATTATTATTATTAAATTTTGTATTCTATTTCCAACATAAATAAAATAAATTGTATTTTAACAATTATTTTTATTTAATATGATGAATATATAATATTAGAAATGTTCCCAAATGTTTTAGAACATTCTATACTTTTTCACTTTTTGTGTTTTATCTTTTTTAATTATTTATTATTCAATTATGACACCATGAGTTTATTTGAAAAGTTGGATAATTGACCCACCATCTAGGTAGAAAAATAGCTTTGCTTTTAGATCAATTTTAAATTATATATGTTATCTACATTATATAAATAATTTTTACTTATTACACTTAATCTTTGTTTGATATAATTAATATATTAGAGAAGTGTACAATTTTTTTTATAATTTTTATATTATTTTGATTATTTGTACTTTTTTACTTTTTAAAGATTTATTATTTAACTATGACATCATCAATTAATCCATTTGACCCAACCCACGACCCAAAAAGAA